TTTACCTTTAAAAGAGGTAGCAATTTATTTCACCAGTGTCTCCAAGTCTGCTTTGAATTTCAGTACTTCTCACACTTGGTAATTAAAGTATTTTGTGATTATCATTAGATATGATAGCTAAGGCCAGGAAGGCAAAATACCTATCATTTTCTACACTAGTCTGTCCATAAATTAAGCGACTACCACTTTCAGCAGCACCACCATCTAGTGGCAAATACAGCTATTACCGCCCCAGTTTTACAACACATAAAGCTCAGAGGTTCTCAGATTTGTTTCTTCAGCTACACAGAACAGTTTCCTTCTGGGAACAGAACAGCATTCTTTTCCACATTATCATATGGAAAACACCTATCAGAGGACACGTATATGAATGTGATCAAATTTTAAAATGCCTTTTTTAAAAAACCCACAATCTTCTATTTTTTTTATTAGACATTTACACCCTTCACAAAGTGATAACCCCCCACCCCCAATCTACTACCCTTCTGACATTGTATATAGCTGTTACAATTACACTAACTCTTTGAGTTTTTGGCTCTTTCTGATGTTTATTTTCTACTAATGATCTATTAGTCCATGACAAATGAACAGGCTTAGAAATAGCTTTTTCATAGTTAAGTTTTTAAATCTGTGGACTTGTATGCTTTTTAATAATTTATATTGCAGGCAATATGTCTTTCCCCCACCCCCTACCTGAAACAACAAGATAAAAAGCCCAGAAACAGAATTATGCATACAGAAAAACTTCAAATAGGTGGGAGATGATGTTACAAGTAAGCAGGTAAAAGGATGGGCTATCTGTGCAGGGATAATTGGTCATCGCATGGGATGAAAATTGGCCCTCAATTTTTCAGAGCTGCCCAGAAACAAAACCATAATCCCTTTAATATAAATGGCATGTTGCCTCTGTTTCATTCTCACTGCAGTTCCCCTGAGGTAGGGGAGCACAAAAAACTGTCCCCACTTGTTAACCCCTAATCCCGTATGGGGCTCCCCATCCATTATGTTTGAAATAAGGTTTACTTGGAGTTCCTTTCTGACAA